GAGATCAAAGATCTGTCTCTAGTTTTTTTTGTTTCAAGTAAAATAAAGAAATCATTTAAAAATACTGCAGGTATATAAATCTTATTAAAAAAAAAAAAAAGATTGTGGACCTGGAGCGGTAACCTAGTGACTAAAGTCCTCGCCTTGCATGCACCAACATCCCACGTGGATGCCAATTCATGTCCCAGCTGCCCCATTTCCCATCCAGCTCCCTGCTTGTGGCCTGGCAAAGTAGTGGAGGATGGCCCAAGGTCTTGGGACCCTGCACCTGCTCAGCTGACCCGGAAGACGCTCCTGCCTCCTGATCAGCAGCCACTTAGGGAGTAGTGAATAGTGGATGGAAGATCTTTATCTCTTTATAAATCTGCCTTTCCAATAAAAATAAATGAATCTTAACAATATATATATTGTAGGGTAGAAGGTGTTTTGCAATTTTCCTAGTCCCCCTGTACTCTAAGCTCCCAATTCAATATAGTTCAGTGTAGGACCACCATTTTGTTACACCCTGCTAGCCCCTGACCCCAAATAGTCTAAACACGTGCAGCGCAATCCCCTTTACCTTGATTTCCACAGTGATTTCTTTACGGAAACCTCTGAACTTGACACAGCTTATCTTTATTTTTGGAAACACCAAGCCATATATATATATATATATATAGCATGTGTTACTATATACATGTGTTTGTACCAATGCTAACAATTACAAATTGAGTGACATGATACGAGTGTTGGGTAACTCCAAATCCAACATGTAAGATTAGCACAAGGATCAAAGCAAAATGAGCACACCACACTGGGCCATTCCCAAAGCTGCAGGGGCATCCGACAGATGATGAGTATGAAAAATAAGACGTTGATGAAGAGTATTGACGTTTTATAGAAAAATCATCATTGTTGATGTCAAAAGCAAACCTGCATGCTTACTCTGTGGCGAAGCTTTAGCAGCCATGCCAAATGCCAGTCTGAAGCCTCCTTACACCTCACTTCATGCTGGCCTGTAGTGCTTGGGAGACCAGATGCATCTGGATAAAATTAGTGTTTGTCAGGGGCTAGGCTTTACTGTGACAGAGACAATATTATTCAGATGAAGCAAACAGTAAGGTAATCATCACAAGGAGATCCAGGCCTCACTGAGAGGCAGAGCACTGCCACAGAGTTAGCAGCACCAAAGTGTTGCCTTGTGCTGCTCTGTCTATGGGAATCATCTCGGATTACTGGATTACTGAATGCTAGTACAGATATGGAAAGAACACAGCAGGGGTCTGTAACTTTCCAATTTTTTTCCTCTGGCTTGGGACAAGGCAATGAACCGACCATTTCCTCCATGGGATAACTGTAGAGTTTGAGAGGAACTGTGATGCTGGACGCCACGCAGGACATTAAGGAGAGGTGAACACTACTTGTTGGAGAGAATTGTTTTATCAATGAAAAAACTTGACCTAATATTTGAAAATTGGCTTTGTTATAGATGAAGCTTCAACTGGGATTGAATTTAATGTCACCACATCACGTGCCAAGAAATTCTCTGCCTGATTGCTGCAGCTCGGCAGTGTGGCGTCAGCAGCGGTGTCACGTGTGACTCATCAAAAGCTGAGGTTCTAACAGCCTCCAGTTACGCTTACTGAATGATCTTGACTATGTTGACCTTGAAGTGTGGTGGCTGAGTTGTGGGAATGGCCTCAGGAGGTTTTACAGACTGCATGATTTAGTTCATGGAGATAAAAGGAAATCCTATCAGGCAGCTTGATGATAGCAACTGGCTGCTAGATCTAGCATTCCTGCTGGACCGACAAGCCACCTGTTAGAGCTGAACATCAATGGCAAGGCCGCAGCCAGCCTCGCAGCTCCTTGCTTGCAAATGTGAAGTGTCTGAAGCTAAATGAAGGCCATGCAACTTGGAAGGTGAAACATGGTGGAAGGACCTAGGCCTTCTGAAATGACCCTTACAAATGCTGATGACTGTGAGAGGCATTTTAATGCAAGATTCAAGGATATGGAAAGGGAATAAATGAATTGAGCATCTGCTATACTCCTCGATGCAGAACCCACGGATGTGCCTGATCACCTACAGCTGGAAATCCTTCAGCTGTCACACAATGATGAGCCGAGAGCTGGGTGCAGCCACCTCCCAGGACTTGGGGTCTACAGACGCTGCATGAGCAGGGCTGAACTTCCCACTGGGAGGAGGGCCACGCTGAAACAGGCATCCACATTCACCACCTTCCATTGCGAGCAGTTCTTTTCAGAACTTAACATCACAGAGCTGGCTCCGCTCCAGAGCCACGCAAATCTGGGAAGGCAGCTGTGCGTGGCACCATCATCAGTACCAGCTGTTATCACACGCCTCACCCAGGAGAAGTTCCCGCTACCACAGTAGGGGAGTGAATGAAACACTTTGTTAAATACAGCAAGCTAATTGTTACATTGATACATTTGTATGGCCTGTTAATGATGTTCCAAATATCCAAGAGGCCCTCAGCAGTTATGAAAGATGGGGAAAGGGTCTTGTTCACCAAAGCTCCCATTGGCTGAGCATCATCCTGAGAAGCAAGCATCTAACTCAAGTCAGTCACACAAGGTATGCTGCTCACGGCGACCGAGAGACAGGTGTTTGCAGGTTAAGGGAGATTCTGTGAACCTGAAAGCAGGACATTTCTTTCATGGGGGAATTCTCAAGTTCTAAATTTTAGATTTCTATCACTTCTTGGCCTTGTGGCCAAGATCAAGTGTAGTCAATTCTAGATTTCTAAAGAATTAGTGCTCAAAGTGTGCCCCTACAACTCTGTCTCGTTTGCCTGTCCCTGCTTCAGTACTATTCAACCATACTTACTGCACTAACCCTCTGCCACTCAAAGCACATCAAGCTTGTCTGTGTCTTTACACCTGCATTTAGAGGGCCTTGGCACTGTCATGCAGCAGGCTCAGCCAACACTGGCATCCTCAGTTACAGTGCCAGTTTGAGTCCACTTTATTTCGATCTGTTCCAGGGCTAATGCACTTGAGAATGCAGTGGGAATGGCCCACGTCCTTGGGGACCCATGACACCTGTGGGAGACCTGAGTGGGGTTTCACACTGCTGCCTTTGGTTTGGCAGCTGTGGTCACTGGGGAGTGAAGCAGTGGATGAAAGATCTCTGTCCGCCCCTCCTCTTGTCACTCAGCCTTTCAAGCAAAATAAATCTTAAAAAACAAAAACAACAGAACTACACTTTGGGTGTATGTTTCCAAGGATGATCCTTCCCCAGATCAGTCTATACTAGGTTGGTGCACTTCAAATGTTTAAAAATGCTTATTTATTTTAAAGTCAGAGTTGCAGAGAAAGGAAGATACACAAAAAGATTGTCCACTTGCCAGTTGCCTCCCCAGGTGGCCACAACGGCGGGGCGTGGCCAGATCAAAGCCAGGAGCCAGGAGCTTCTCCCAGGTCTTCACGTGCATGCAGGAGCCCATGCATTTTGGCCAGCTTACATTGCTTTCCTATGTGCCTCAGTGGGGAGCTGGAGCTGAAGTGGCACGGTGCTCCACAATGTCACAAGTAGCGGGTGTACCAGCTATGCCATAATTCCAGCCCCTTCACTCATATTTCAGGATCTTTTCAGGAATGCCTTCCCTGACACTCTTTCTGTGGCACCTGCTCTATACCATAGTGCCATTATGACCTTCAGTTGTAATCTCAAGGCACATGCCACTAAAAGCAATTTTCTTATTGTTACTCTTTCCTTTACTGAGACTTTAATATTTTTTTAATTTACTGGTTCACTTTCCAAATGGTTGCAATGGCCAGGATGAAGCCAAGAACTCCATCCTGGTGTCCCACACAGATCAAGCAGAGGCCTGAACACTTGAGCCATCACTACTGCTTCCCAAGTGGAGGAGCTGGGACTTGAAGCAGTGCTCTGAGACACCAGCACTGCAGGCTACAGCCTCTCACTGCATCACAGCGCTGGCCTCGGGAACGTACCTCTGACCATGGGGTTCTTCTCCATGCTGTTGGTTTCCTGTCCTCCTACTATGGTAGCTGGCCAAAACAGATATTCCAAAGAGCAGTCACTTGAAATATGAGCTCTAGGAAAGTATATCCCTTCATCATCTTACAGGTTGCAAACTCTAAACCCTACAGGGCTAAGGTGGCAAAGAACTTGACATCGCTTGGACCCATCTAAAGAAGCTAGCTACTGAAGCCAGCACAGTGGCCTAGCAGGCTAATCCTGCACCTGTAACATCGCATCCCAGACAGATGCCAGTCTGAGTCCTGACTGCTCCACTTCTGATCCTGCTCCCTGCACATCGTCTGGGGAGGCAGTGGACACTGGCTCAGTTCCTTATATCCTTGCACTCACATGGAGACCCAGAAGAAGCTCCTGGCTTCCACTGTGGCCATCTGCAGAGTGAACCAGTGGATGGAAGATCTTCCTCACTGTCTCTCCTTCTCTCTGTAAATCTGCCTTTTAATAGAAGTAAACTTCTAAATCTTTTTTTTTTTAAAGATTTATTTTTATTATTTTTTTATTGGAAAGGCGGATATGCAGAGAGGAGAGACAGAGAGGAAGATCTTCCATCCGATGATTCACTCCCCAAGTGAGCACAACGGCCAATACTATGCCGATCCGAAGCCAGGAGCCTCTTCCGGGTCTCCCGTGCGGGTACAGGGTCCCAAAGCTTTGGGCCGTCCTCGACTGCTTTCCCGAGCCACAGGTAGGGAGCTGGAAGGGAAGCGGGGCTGCCGGGATTAGAACCGGCGCCCATATGGGATCCTGGGCGTGCAAGGCGAGGACTTAACCACTTGTGCCACCACGCCGGGCCCGTAAACTTCTAAATCTTAAAAAACAAAAAAAAGAAAGTAGCTGAACAGCTTGAACCAGCTCTGACCCACTGCTGCCAGGCTTTGCTGCAAAGAGCAGTTAGCGCCTTCCCTTCATTGCTGGGATTTCAAAGATGCATTTTCTTTTTCATTTCAGTGTTAACTGTTAGCAATCAACTGAAGAAGTTAAAATAGTAATGTGATTATTATTTAGTAATCATTAATAAGAAGACAAGAAGGGATGAGTTAAGATGAAACACAGAATGAATGTTGACAGGATTGCTCCCTAGAGTTGTCTGCACGGGTGGGAATGGAAAACCAGACACCCCCACGAAACTGGGGTAGACGTGACAGGCTGGAGTTCAAAGAAGCCAGGTGCACGTGCTAGTGGTGACAGACCTCAGCACAGACCTGGTGGGAAACAGCACAGTGCAGACCAACGCATGCAATGCATGATCACTGTTACAACACTAAAGCCATCTGCTAGATTACGTACATAGCAAACACCCAGATCTAGTAACTAGGATTATCAAGACCTATTTCAAATTCACGTCCTAGGTATTTTTTTTGGGAAGGAAGGTGGTAAAGCTGGATGGGACTGGGGAGCACTCGTGGTATCTGTTGTGTCTTATTTCAGTTAAAATGTGAAATGGGATGGGGGGGGCGGGGACAGTTGCTGGTGTTGCGGCACAGCACGCTAAACTGTGACATGCAAGGTTGGAACTCCACACGACACCCAGTAGGCGTCCACATGACACCCAGTAGGCGTCCCTGCAGCTCCATTCCTGATCCAACCCTCTGCTAACACACGCATACAGGTGGGGAAGCAGTAGCAGGTGGCCCAGGGCTCCGGACCCCTGCTCTCCATTTCAGAGAGGGAAAGGGGGAGTGAACCAGTAGAAGGACAGTATCTGTTAGTGTGTCTCTCCGTTTTTCAAATAGTTTAGAAAAGTTTAAAAAAAAAAAAATGAAACTTTAGCCTAGTGGCAAAAGTCCTTGATTTTGCACGCGCCGGGACCCCTTGTGGCCACTAGCTGTAATCCCGAGGCTCCACTTTCCATCCAGCTCCCTGCTTGTGGCCTGGGAGGGCAGGTCGGGGATGGTCCAAGGCCTTGGGACCCTGCAACCTGCACGGGAGACCTGAAAGAGGCTCCAGGCTCCTGGCTTCCAATCGGCTTGGCTCCAGCCACTGTGGCCTCTTGGGGGTGGGGGTGAATCAACAGATGGAAGATCTTCCTCTCTGTCTCTCCTCCTCTCTGTGTATCTGGCTTGTCAGTAAAAACAAATAATCCCAAATAAATAAATAAATAAGTAAATCTCGAAAAAAAAAAGGCAAAAAACAAATAAAAACCCACCAACGTCTGCTTATTCTGGGTAGCAGGCACATGCGAATCGGCTGTGGACTTTTCTTTCCAAAACGTTGCAGCATTTAAAAAAAACGACTGAAGGAGTCTCCAGGAAATGAAGAAGCCGGCGGCGTTCCCCGTCGGCCCGCGGCCCGCAACCTTCCCCTCGTGGCCCCCGACGCGGGGAGAGGCATCCCGGCCGAGAAGGGGAACTCACGTCCTCCCCCGGGGAGGGCAGCTAGCTCTCTGTCACAACTCCTCTTCCTGAGAAGACGGGAAGAACTGCCTTCAGTCCTTGCGGTCACGGACACAGGTTCCTCGAGGCTCACAGCGCTAACGTTTTAAGATAAAGTCCAACCTGCACCGAACCGGACGGCCCAGCCGGCCAAGGCCGCTTTAGCCTTGAAACGACCGAGCGACCAATGAGAAACAATCAGGAAAAAATGTTGCCATGGAGACGGGCTGGTGTCCTCCGACAGCACGCTGGGATTTGTAGTCTTTGGGAGCGGACCCAGAGGGAGCCGGGCCGCTTCCGGGAAGGAAGATACATTTCGCGTTCTCGGCCCCACCGCCGCCCTTTCAGTTCTTCCCTGCCCAGGCACAGGGCCGGCGATGAAGCCCACGCCCGTCAGAGTTACAGGCTCGCAGCGGCCCAGCACGGCAGCCATGCGATGCCGTACGGCAGACCCGAGACGCCGGTGGGGCCGGAAGAGGAGGGGCTCCCGCAGTGCGCCCGGAGGCTCCGTCCCCTGCGTCACTTCCGTAAACAAAGGGCGCTGCGGAGGCGCGGGGGCGGGAGGGTGACTCGGATTGCAGGCGCGCTTTCGGCGGTGGCTTCCAAGGCCACCGCGACTTTGCAGACTGAGGGAAGGGACCGGGGTCGCCGCCTCCTTCGGGTATGTGGTGGGAGCTCTAGAAGGCCTGCAGGCTCCCCCTTCCGTCTCTTCCTGCTGCTGGCTGTGGTCCCAACTGGACCTGGATGAAGGGTCCTGGCCAGGAGGACTGCGGACTGGGGGTGAGGAGGGAGCCTGAGGGGCGCGCAGTGACCCTACCGGCCAGGACATGGCACTCACAGCCAGTGGGTGAGCTGATCACGTCTTTCTAGAACGTTCCTGGCTGCCTGGTGGATTGGAAGCGTTTAGGTGCTCCTGTGACAAGGGTTGGCTCCTCTCAACATCGTAGTTTGGACCGCTGTTGCGTTATTGGCCGTGCTTGATTTCTTGGGTTCCTTATTTTCACTTTTTTCTGGTGTCTGCAAATGTTGCAGGAGCGTTGTAAGATGTGAAGGCCATTGTGTTGGTATCACAAACGCGTACAGGTCCTTGCCTTCGTAAGAACCGGTCCCCCATTGTATCCATCCCATCATCTCTTCAAAGGCCATTGGGTTTGTATGGCCTGTTGCAGGGACTCCGGAGTGACTGTTTTATTACTGCTGACGCTTCTCGAAGGGACAGCTGCAAGAGCAGCTGTGAGTGGGGTTAGTGGTGTTTGCCTGAGATTAGGGAACCCGCGTTGGCTGCTTTCCAGAAAGGCGCTCATTTCTTCTCCGGAAGCCTGGTACCTCCAGCTGCGGAGTCAGCCTGAGTATTCGGAGCTCAGTAATCTACGTACTGCTAATAATGACCCAGACGATGGCAAATCATGTTTTCGCTGAAATTCTCTAGTATTTAGGAATGTCGGTAATAGGTCTGAATAGGTAATAGGTCTGAATCTTTGATTGATCACAGCATAACTAAACACAATATGGGAAAAAATGCTTCATACGACTCAAGCTGTTTATATTTTGATGTTGTAAGTAACTATATAAACATCTCACGATTCATGAGGAAATAGTTTTCAAAAACTGTTGAAAGACAGAGAGAAGCACTGATTCACTCCTCAAGTGACTGCAGCAGGTAGAGCTGGGCCACATTGAAGCCTGGAACTCTGCCCTGGTCTCCTGTGTGAGTGCCATGGGCGTAAGAACTTGGACCCCGGTCCGTTGCTTTACCTGGGGCACAGCAGGAAACCGGATCAGAAGTGGAGCAGCCAGGAATCAAAGCAGAACTCTGACAAGTGCAGGCTTAACACACTGTGCCACCACACACTGACCCTGAAACAATGCAGTTAATGTCACAGTATGCACAAATTTTAAAAAATGCAAATTGATCGCTTTGGAGATTGGTATTAGAAAAATAAAGTTGGCTAATACATGAAGGGAAAATTAGTGGCGTAAATCAACCTTTCATGTGCACCCCAAGGAAGAGCCAGCAAAAGTGGATGGAGTTTACTTTCTGATATGGGCAAAGCCAAGTACGTCTTATAATGTAGAAACAGGTGAGGGAAAGTGGATTGAGAATAGGCAGTTGGATTTTGTAGACATGGAACTTGAATCGGCCTCACACCCAGGCAGAATCAGTCACTTGAAAAAGCTTTGCTTGCTCTATGGATGGCTGAGGCCCCGGACGCTTCTGCATCTCTTCAAATCTAATCAAAATCTACTTCTTCCTGGGCGTTCATTTTGATCAGCATGTGCCATGGGCAGCCACAGCTGCGCCAGGCTGGGGATGTTAGGGGGCTGATGGGTGTATTGTTTGTGTAATAATGGACCTTCTGTAAGGCAGGACTTTGACATGTGTCCCTGATACCCACTGCAGTGCTTAGCTTGGGGGAAGAGTGTCCCTAAAGCTTTATAACTCTGAGCGAGGAAAGAAAATGCTGAGAAAGGAAAAGCTACCTGGCAGACAGTTTCACTGAGGGCCTCTGGGTACTCAGTAGATAGCATAAGGGGTCCCTAGGGCCTTCTCCAGCCACCCCTGCAAGCCTTGGCCCTCTGTGGCCTGTGAAGTGGGCCTTCGAAGCTGATTGCGCATGGCATAGCAGGTCTGTGTCATCTCTGATTTCCTTGTTCAGGTCTTGGGAAGCTGGCCGTGGGGCAGCAGGGAGCTGAAGGCGATGGAAGAGCGGAAAGCGAAGAGGAGGAGTCCCAAGTCTTTCAGTGCCCACTCGACTCAGGTCGTCAATGCCAAAAGAAATGCCCTTCCAGTTAGTAAAAGTACGGGCTTTTCCAACCCCACGACGCAGTCAACGTCACAGCGGCCAAAGTTGAAAAGGTGAGTTCCTCCCGTGTAGGTGGGTGGGACCTTCCTGAGCCGTCACTTGTTGCCTCCCAGGGTGGGTGGGGGGATCCAAGGCTTGGGCCATCCTCCACTGCCTTTCCCAGACCGTTAACATGGAGCTGGATCAGACATGGGGTAGGCAGGACACAAACCAGCACAATCACATGTGTTTCATTATTCAGTCTTTTGGTGTGCCTTAGTATGTTTCATACATTTGTTTGAGATTTTTGAACAACTGGTTCTTTTGGCTTCTGACTTGAAGTTGATGCTTTTGCTGAATATTAACTTCGGTCTTTTTTTTTTTTTAAGAATTTATTGAGCTAGTGCTCCACATTTCCTTCTTTTTATAGATTCATTATTTTTATTTGAAAGGCAGATTTACGGGGGGACAGATAGAAACATCTTCCATCCACTGGTTTACCCCCCAAATGGCCGCAATTGCTGGAGCTGAGCTGATCTGAAGCCAGGAGGAAGGAGCTTCTTTCCAGGTTTCCATGTGACTGCAAGAGTGCAAGCACTTGAGCCATCCTCCACTGCCTTCCCAAGCCATGAGCAGGGAGTTGGATGGGAAGTAGTGGAGTATCCGGGACAGAAAGCAGCACTTCTATGGAGTGCTGGCTCTTGCAGAATGAAGATTAGCCAACTGAGCCATTGCACTGGCCCCTGGTTTTTAAGGGAAAATCCATTTAACTTGCTAACAACAACAACTCGCAAACACACACACACGGCTAATCTAGAATAACTTGCAAAAATGTTTTAAGCTAACTACATTATCTTTGCAGGGTGATGAAAGAGAAGGCCAAACCTCAGAGTGGAGAAGGAAAGGGGGCCCAGACAACTCCGATCCAGCACTCCTTCCTCACCGATGTCTCTGATGTGCAGGAGATGGAGAGAGGCCTCCTGAGTCTCCTCAATGACTTCCACTCAGGGAAACTCCAGGCATTTGGTAAGTGGGAGATGGTTTTCATTGCTGTGAATCAATCTCTCTCTCTCTCTCTCTCTCTCTCTCTCTCTCTCTCTCTCTCGCTGTCTCTCTCACACACACAGATTGTTTGCATTGTGTTACACACATGGCAGCTTCCATACTCCTGTGTGTCTTGCTTTTCTCTCTTAGGCAGCATCTGATGGAAATCACGCCAAGTTGTCTGGCATAGCTATAATTCATCCTTTTGCCAATGGCTGCATGATACTCTAAATTATGAATATGTGAATAGATTGTAGTCTGTCCCACCCTTTCCCTGTGGAAATTGTGTGTGGAACATCCTTTTCATGTATTCTATACTGATGCTTTGTGTCCTTGGAGTGGATTTCCATGAGATTACGGAGTCAACGCATAAGGATAATTTTAATTAAAATCTAGCTTTAGCACTTTTTACTTTAAAAGACTTTATTTATCTGGAGGGCAGCATTCATCTGCCATTGCAGACACCCACAGCAGCCTGGGATGGAGCTGAAGCTGGAGCCAGAGTCTCCACTGTGGGTGGCAGGCATCCAAGTGCTTAGGCAATGATCTGCTACGTTGCAGGTGTGTTCGCAGGAAGCTGGATGAAAAGCAAAGACAGGACTCAATTCCAGGCACTCCGATATAGGATGCTGGAGTGAAGCAACAGCCTAACCCGCTCTACCACAGCCTCTGCTCCTGTAATTTAAATTGTTGTGGAAGTGTCCAGATTCCTTCCACCCTCAGCAGTTTGTGGAAGAATCCTCTACTCTGAATTTGCACAAGGAGTAGGCATTACTAGTGTTAACTTTTTGCCAGTGTAATTTTCATGTCAGTTCTTGGCGTAAAGTGAGATTGTTTTCTAGAAATTCCCTCTGTGAAGGAAGTTTGAATGTCCATTGGTTTGGTAAGCAGTTCAGTGGCTCTTTCCAGGACCCTGTCCCAGGTTCCTGCTTAAGTGTGTCTGCTTTTGTTATTGTCAGTAAATGCTAAGGGACCTTTGTATGTTTTATATAGTAACCCTCAGACCTTTATTGATTATTTATACTAGATTAATTGGGGGTTTTATTTATGGTTTAGTTAAGCTTACTTTTTCTCTACTCGCACCCGATTATCTTTGCTTTTATAGTCTCTGGGGATCCAGTCTGGGTTTCACTGCCATGTGAGAAGAAGTCATGAAAGGCAGTGGTTTTGAACCCAGCCCCTCCTCTGCTCAATGGTACATTCTAGACACACTCAGACCTGAGGCCGCAGCAGTCTGTCGGTCTTCCGCCCTCAGTAGGGATGACTCTCTAAGGGCTGGGGTTGCAGTGCAGCAAGTAAAACTGCTGTCTGCATTGCTGAATCCCATATGGGCACAAGTTCGAGTCCCAGTGGCTCCATGACTGATCCAGCCGATCCAGCTTCCTGATAAAGTACCTGGGGAAGCAGCGGAAGATGGCCCAAGTCCTTGGGCCCCTGCATCCCCATGGGAGATTGAGAAGGTGCTCCTGACTCCTGACGTCAGACTGGCTCAGCTCCAGCTGTTGTAGCCATTTAAGGAGTGAACCAGTGGAAGGAAGATCTCTCTCTCCCTCTTTCTCTCTTTAATTTTACTATTCAGATAAATAAATCTTTAAGAAACAAAAAAAAGCCCATGAACTTTATTTAAAAGATGGAGAGATTGGCTTACTAAGTTGAGGGAGGGGTACATTAAGTGCCTCCAGTCCCACAGGGTCCCAGGTCTTGCGTTCGTGGGGTCATTTCTCTATGCAGTGGCCAACATCCATTGTTAGCACTTGTCTCAAAGGTGAAGTTTTCAGAAATCTCTGAGCAAAGGGTCACAACTGCTTGCAAGTAGCCCCGGCACTGCCTGGAGCCCACTCGCCATCACTAGGAATGCCAGAGCACCTCATGGCCAGCCTATTGCTGACCTGCTGGGGAAGGATCCCAGCACTGCTGACCTGCCAGAGCTTCCACATGACCTGAGCATGCACCACTTAACCGCAGCTTCAGTCTGGAAGATTCCTTATCTTCACTGTTGAGGAGTCTAGATATTAGGCAAAAGCTGCTGGTATAACTTGTCCTTTGCTTTATAAAGCGAATGCCTCAAATGTGGAAGAGAAGGAGGGAGAGGGGGAAGTAGCAGCGAAGAGAGTGTGGTACTGGGGCAGGGAAAGGCAGAGAGATAGAGGGTGTAGTAAATCATTTTGTGACATTTGGAAGCCGCAGACCTGGGGCCATTCACTGACACCAGGGAGAGGCAGAGTTACAGTGAGGGTGAGAGACTGAGAGAATGAGAGATCTTCCATGCTCTGGTTCAGTCCCCAAATAGCTACAGTGGCCAGGGATGGGCCTGACTGAAGCTGCAAGCCAGGAGCTTTGGGGTTTCCTGGGTACAGAGGCCCAACCTGGACCATCCTCTACTGCTTTCCAATTATATACAAAACATATGCAGTCATTAAATAAAACAGATTTCTTTGAGAGCACTCTAGGTTTTCTCTTCAGGCTGTTGGTTTGATTTGTCCTAATCCTTATTAATGTTCTGGGATATTCTCCAGGAAATGAATGTTCCATTGAACAGATGGAGCATGTCCGTGGAATGCAGGAGAAGTTAGCCCGGCTGAACCTGGAGCTCTACGGGGAGCTGGAGGAACTGCCCGAGGAGAAGAGAAAAACAGCCAGTGACGCCAATCTCGATCGGCTGCTGTCTGATGTAAGGAGAGGTTTTTTTTTTTCCTTCATTCTTTATAAACAATTTTAGGTGTTAGTGCTTTAAAAAAAAAAGAAGCAAAGCTCACCTGTTTAGTCACTTTAAAGTGTATGTGTTTTTAGTTTACTCACAGTGTTGTGCAGGGAGCACTTTCTAACCCCAAACATTTCCATCATGCAGAGAAGAAACGCTTGCCAGTCCTTATCTGCTAGCATCCGCTGGTCCACTGTGAACTTGACAGATTTGCCTGCTCTGGACATGGCAGATAAATGCAATTCTGCAGTGTGCGTGTGTGCGCCCCAAGTGGATTCTTTGATTTAGTGGAGTGTTGTCCAGTTTTACCCGTGCTATTACTTTGTTAAAAAAGAATCGCATTCCAGGGAAATGCTTGTATTCTACAGACACTGGCAACTCTGAGAGGGGCATATCTGCACTTGTGCACATATGTGTACATGTGACGACATGTTCCGCCCCCAGGGCTGGGCCCTCGCTTTTCCTGTAGAACCAAGTTTGGTGTTGATCATCACTCAGTGCATGGCTGTCGGTATTGTCACCTGAGGCTGCCGTGGCCAAGTGCGCCATACCTGGAAGCCTCCACAGCCCTACTTCCTCTCATTTTGGAGGCTGAGAGTTGCAGATCGGGGTGTCCTGTTTATAATGGGCTCTTCCGCATTCGCATTGTGAGCCCCTCCATGGCATTATCCCCGAATGCCCTTTTGTCAGGATATTGGTCACAGTGCCTAGGGCCCACCCCAATGACATCATTTTGACCCAATGACCTTCTTCAAGGCCCTGTCTCCAGATACACATTCCAAGAGGCTAGGGCTGAGGATCAGCACATGCATTTGAAGATTTAGTTCAGTTCGTAACACCACATGTGATTATTTTTACAGAGAAGTGTTAAATTTTCCTCCTTAAATTCTTTTTGAAACAAATATAAGAAAGAATTGAATTCAGTACTCTTCAGATTGCATGCTCATGACAATAAAGGGGTAATTTCTGTCGCCTTTCTCTATCTTTTGAATAAGTAAATGTGAGAGAATTGTCCATACTTTATTATTTTTGTAAAGATTTATTTACTTATTTGAAAAACAGAGTTTGAAAGAGAAGGAGAGGTAGATCCTCTGTCAGTTGGCACTCGCTCCCAGATGGCCGGAACACCAGTGGTGGGACAGGCTGAAGCAGAAGCCTGTGGCCCTCGTGCGGCACAGGGATCCAAACATGTAGGCTATCTTCTGCTGCCCTCCCATGCACATGAACAGGGAGCTGCGCTGGAAGTGGAACAGCCTAGGCTTGAACTGGCCGTAACGTGGGATGCTGGTGCTGCAGCCACTCAGCCTGCAGCCCACAGCGCCAGCCCCTTGTCCCTACTTATTTCAGGCCTGGTATGATTAACCTATCAGTTATTTCCTTTTAGCAGTTCATGTTTGAATTTTATCCCTCTTATCAACTACAAGCTTCACTTGCTATAAATTTGGAGAAGTATCTTATGATAGGGTGAAAGGAACACTGATTTTGACATCACCAATCCTTTGGTGAACCCAGCATTTGCAGTTGAATAATAATTGGGTAGCACCGAATAATTTAGCTAGCATTTCTCCGGTTTGAGTTTCCCTTTCTGTAAAATAGGGGTGCTGTGATTTGAATGTTGTCCTCTTGGAAACCTCAGTGGCGACAGGAGTGAGACAGTCAAGAATGACATCTGTATAACAGAGGCCCAAGAGGGCAGCATTTGACACAGTATTTATATTGAGCTGCAGACATGGCATCCTTTATCAGAGTTCCTGGGTTCAAGTCTTATCTCCTCTGGTTCTGATACATACACATTTTTTTTTAAAGATTTACTGTGAATCTGACGTGATGGCCCAATGGCCATCCTTGCACATGCTGGGATCCCATATGGGTGCCAGTTCGTGTCCCAGCTGTTCCACTTCCCACAGCTCTCTGCTTCTGGTTCAGGAAGGCAGTGGAGGAAGGCCCAAAGCCTTGAGACCTTACACCTACAGGGAAACCCAGAAGAAGCTCTTGGCTCCTGGCTTCGAGTCAGCTCAGCTCCAGACATTGCAGCCTCTTGGGGAGGGAACAAGCAGATGGAAGATCTTTCTGTCTGAATCGCATTCTCTCTACAAATCTGACTTTCCAATAAAATAAGTAAATACAGTTATTTATATAGTAATTTGAAAGACAGTGTTATGGAGAGCAGTCTTCCACTTGCTGGTTCACTCTAATGTTTGTAATGACTGGAGCTGGTCTGTTCCAAATCCAGGAGCTTCATGGAGGCCTCACATGTGGGTGCAGGGTCCCAACTACTTGGGCTATCCTCTTCCACTTTCCTAGATTCATTAGAAGTGGGGTAGCCAGAACTTAAACTGACACCTGTATGGGATGCTGATGTCACAGGTGGTGGCTTTACCTGCTCTGCCACAAAGGAGGCCTCTGATCCTGCTGTTAATGTGCACCCTAGGAGCAGCAGATAATGGCTCAGGTACTTGGGTTCCTGGCACTCACATGGCAGATCCAGAATTTAGTCCTGGGCCCCTAGTTTTGGCCTGACCCAGCCAAACCTGTTCTGGACCATTTGAGTAATAAACCAGTAGAAGATCTTTGGGGAGAAGTTCAGAAGAGATTCCTTGCTAGCATTGTGGCACAATGACTTAGGCCATAGGCTGCAACAGTGACATGCCGTTAGATGGCCAGTTCAAGTCCCAGCAGTGCCTCTTCCCATCCAGTTCCATGTTAATGGCCTAGGAAAGTGCCTGGGTTCCTGTCACCCATTTGGGAGACCACGGTTGAGTTCCTGGCTCCTGGCTTTGGCCAAGACTAACTGTTGGGTCTTTCTGGTGAGTGAGCAAGTGGATGAGGGTCTCTGGCTCTCTGTAACTGTGTTTCAAATAAGTAAATATATAAATAAGAATATTTTTTAGAAGAGAGAGAATTAGAAGAATACATAAAGAAAGACGGAGAGGGCAGCTGGCACCATCAGCTCAACAAGCTAATTCTTTACCCTGTGGCACCATCTCATGGGTTCTGGTCTTTGTCCTGACTGCTCCACATCCCATCCACCTCCCTGGTTGTAGCCCAGGAAGGCAGTGGAGGATTGCCCAAAGCTTTGAGACCCTGGAACCACATGGGAGACTGGTCTTCGGATTGGCTCTGCTCCAGCTGTTGGGGCCATCTGGGGGGTGAACCAGCAGATGGAAGATCCTTTTACGTCTCTTCTCTGTAGATATGCCTTTCCAGTAAAAAGGATAAATCCTTAAAAAAAGAGAGAGAGAGGGAGAGAGAGAGAGAATCCCTTACCTCTCTGTCACCCTCTCTTTTCAAGATTGATTTTATTTGTTTGGAAGACCAAATTAGAGAGTTGGAGAGAGACTTTCCATCTACTGGTTCCCTCTCCAGATGGCCATAATTGTTAGGGCTGGGTGAATCTGAAGCCAGGAACTTCATCTGGGTCTCCCATGTGGGTGGAGGGTCTCAATCACCTGGACCATCCTCAGCTGCTTTCCCAAGAACATAAGCAGTGCTGGGTCAGAAGTGGGATTGCTGGAACTTGAGCCGGTGCCCATAGAGGATGCCGGAACCATAGGTGGCCACTTAACCCTCTCCATTACAACACCGTTACCTCTTCTACCCTGTAGAGACACAGCCTGGAGGAGCAGGGAATATTGTGATGTTATGCAGTGAGTTAAACCACCACGCCTGTATTCCAGAAATCCCATCTGGGAATGGTTAGCTCTAAGTTTCTGATCCTGGGCCTGGGGAGCAAAGAAGAGAGCTCAATTCCTTGAGGTCTTGCCACCCATGTGGAGAGGCTGTAATGGGGAGCGTCTAGCTTCTGGCTTCAGCCTGGCCCAGCCCTGGCTGTTGCAGTGTGTGGAATGAAGTAGCAGATGGAAAATCTCTGTCTCTCTCTGTTGACTCTGCAATAATTAAGTATGTCTTGGAGGGAAAAAGTGGCACCATCCTGTGAACAGAAGCAGGCCTTCACTAGGACACATAAGCTGCAGGCACCTTGGATTGCCCAGGTTTCACGGCCATGACACATTTCTGGTGCTTGTGAGTCACCAGTGTTTGATGTTTTCTTACAGCAGCCCTAACACACCAGGAAATGGTAAATTCTATTTCGTACTGAAAATGGAATGATGTGAAATACTTTTGTAATTCATAAGGGTTGTATATTACAGAGTTTGGTAATTATAATGTCTTTTTTTTTTCTTTTAAAAACTGCCATTAGAGATTTATTGTAATTATGTGTGGTTTTTAGGAACCCTTTGAAACTTACATTTTTATCATTTGACTTTCATTCTGTTCTGACAGTTGATTCATAAAGGCTAAAACACACCATAGTTACTTCTAAAATGAAAGATTTTTGCTACTATTGTAAATACTAAAGGATATTCTTTTCAAAATATTTAAAAGCATAGTTAGCAATTGCTGTTTGTGTTTAATCTTATGAAGTAAAATTTAAACTTATTTCTTTGTGTTACAGTTAGAAGAATTGAATTCTTCCATGTATCCTTTGTCTGTCAACAGAGCAAAATTTGGAATGTGTAATTTTTGGTGAATAATCTCAGTCATAATTTTCAAAGACGTCTTCTTTAGATAGCATGAACAAGGGCACACACGGTGCCATTTACCAGGGCCAACTCTCTCACCTTTGTTTTCCAGATGCGATTTTCTCATTGTTTTTGTATGCTGGAGTTTTATTTTTTATTTCTTCTGCTTTGCTTTGTATTTATTTAGAGTTTTTAAAGTAAATTAACATTTTTTTTTTTTCAAATCTTGGATTTGAGGCTAACTAGCCACTGAAAATATGGGGAAAAAACCAGTGTCATAATATGGGATATTTTAAGCACATAAAGTTGAAAAGTATCATTTAAATGCAGGCCTCAAGGAATGTTTACCTGGCTTGTGAAATGACATTTTCATAACTAAGTGTACAACATGCATTATTGGATTAGCTTAGGAAAATCACCAAGGCCCATGCAGAGTGTTCTGATGTTGACATTCTGGTTTCAAGCAATTGTTTATGAATGCTTCTGGATGTGTTTTGCACATGATGATGGGCTCAGAGAAGTACATGCTAATCTACTGGAGCCTGCCCTGGGAGGTAGCCGGTGTAATACTTCCCATTTTACAGGCACTGAAAATTAGGTTTGAAAAGGCTCATTATCTGTGGGATTCGTGTAAATTGTTATCAGCAACGACTTAGAAGGGGGCTGAGATTTGAGTTAAGGAACTTCTCTTAGAGTAGTTTCTGGTTCTTTGCTGTTTTCATTTTATTCTTATCTTTGCTTTAGATTCTTTTCTGTGCATAGGACTCCGAAGTATCTCCTATCTGTTTCCTGAGTTCTTGTTAAATATTTGCATGTTTCACCACATTGCTCAGGTCTGCCAGGGCTGGACTTTGTCTGTCACAAACAAGTCAACATGGCAGGACGCAGAAGCACAGACCGTGCTGTGTGGTGTCTTGGTAGGCAGCCGTCCCAGCTTGAGCAGGGTCTGGCGTCCTGGTTTCCTCATCTCTCAGGAATGTTCTCCTGGTTGTCCTCCCTGTCATCATGCTGGTGTTACCTGATTTCCCAGAATATTTCAAAATCCCTGAATGACAGGCATTGCTGATCCCTGAGCCTGGTTTTGAACATGGAATGGCTTTGCTCTCTCTCCATGTTAAGTTGTCAGGCATAGTCAGTTCTGTCTGATTCTTCCTTCAGTTCTCCACGTGGTCATTCCAGGCTCTTACTGGATTCTAGAACTTTCCAGCATTCTGTTCCAACTCCAGAGCTACACTGTCCAGTATGACGGCTGCTAGTTAGGTGGCTGTTGCACATGAGATGGGGCTAATATGACTGGAAATGTGCTGTGCAGGTAATGCACTCATTTGATTTCAAAGACTTAGTATGAAAAATAAAGTATTTTTATAATGACATATGTTATAATTATACTTTATAGGTTATGTTAAACCATACACTGTATATTATTAAAATTAGTTTTGTCCCCTTTTCTTTTTAAATGTAGCTACTAGAAACATAAAAACAGTATATGTGGCTTACATTATATTTCTTTTGGACAGTGTTCACTAAAATTTAGGCATGCTGCCATATTTATCTTACTAAAGCATCACTTTCTTCTTGCCACTCTAATTTCTTACAGTTTTTTAAACCACATAAAACCTTTTAAAAGTTCCTAATAATTTGATAACAACCTGCATAGTTTTCACACAACCTGTTACATCTCTTCATTTTCATTCTGCAATCATTACTCAAGCTGATCTTCTGGCTGTCTAAGAACACATTGTGTTCCTTCCCGCCTGTAGTCTCTGTTCAGATGTCCATCCTACCTGAAGTTGCTCTGGCTTCCCCTTCCAGGGATGGGGAACATGCGCTCTGTGGACCACATGAGGCCCACGAATCTCTTGACCTGGGCCTGTTGGTGGTACTCTGATAGATCTATAGTGTAATTATTTTTAAATTGACAATTTTGTGTGGCTCATGGATGATGTTACGAATATTCCAGTGGCCCTTGGCAGATAAAAGTTTCCTCACCTCATATTAACGAGTTACATGCAAGCCAATCATTTCCATAAAGTATTTCGTTAGTACCCTAAGACTAAAAGTCCGTTTCATCTGCTTTGGTGTGTGTTGATTTTTACACCTGTCTGTGATGGCTGTGATGTTTTTGTAACCTCTCCCAGATCTGTATTGCTAGCATTTCAGAAAAATTGTATTGAATAATTTGAATGGCAGATTAGGAAGAGGGAGAGGCAGAGAGAGAATAGTCCATCCACTAGTTCACTTCCAAATGGCCGCAGGGCTGACTGTGTCAGGTGGAACTCAGGAGCCGGGAACGCCCAGTCAGTCTTTTCTTACATGCCTGTAATCACCCCCTCACCTAGAAACTTCCTCTTGCTGCTTTAAAAATTATTCTCTTGGAACCTGGACATAGTCTAAATTCAGAGTGGGTGTCTATGCTACTAGTTGAATTGCCTGTGTCTGACATGAGAGTGCTTGGGTTTCATTGCCAGTGCTGGCTCCTGACTCCAGCTTTTTGCCAGTACAGGCCATGGGAGGTTGTGGTCCTTGCCTGCGCCGTGGGACGCCTGGAATGAGTTCCTAGCTCCTGGGGTTAGCCTACCCAACTGAAGCCTTTGGAACATTTGGAGAAGGAGCCAGCAGATGGGAGCTAGTACACTGTTTCTCTTTCTGTAACTCTTTTCCAACCATAGTATAATTAGCTATATTAAAAATTGTTTCACCACATCTAGTGTGCCATTAATAACACAGAAGGTTTTCCCTAGAGCGTATTTATTTTTTCCGGAAGTTCTGCCTCTTAGCTCCGGAGTGTGATTTGCAGAGATTTAAAAGCACTCATGGTGAATGGAAATCTTCTTAACCAATGCATTCAGACAGAAACTCCACTTGGCAGATGCGCAAGATGTTCCGAACACTTCTGCCAGCTAAGGTGAAATGCAGGGTGCTTGCTTGTGATGTGAAGAGAAGCAGCGGTCTTGACTTGTCCAGCTGAATCCAGTAGCAGAATCATCTTCCGCAACACCGAATTAAAGTGCTTAAAGTTCAAATGCAGGGATTGTTCTCACATACTGCTTTTAGTAAATCCAGCTTGCTGTCATTCACCCTAACTGGAGCCCTGGGCCTTGTTCAAGACTTGATCATGGGATGTGGTACCAAGGTCGTGCTGCTCTGCTTCTTGTTGCCTCAGGGGTTATACTTGAATGCCTTGTGCTGAGGTGTCTTGGTGGGGCTGAGGGATCCAGCCTTCCCGAGCTCGCCAAAGTCGTTCCGTTGTGGGGCCAAGTGGGTGGTGCCCAGGCCTTGGGCAGCCCGGTGTCGGTTTACTTGACAATCGGTACACGCACGCTGGTGTGTTCTCCAAAGGCCAGTGACTACAAAAATGTTCATTAAGTATTTGTGAGATTCGCTATTTTTTAATAAAGTGATCATTTGAAACTAGTCTGTGTCATCTGTTATGCTGAATGTGTATCATCTTCACTCTGGGACTACACAAGGGTTCAGCTTGCAAAGGAAATGTTTAAAGGCTGGACTTCTCAACTTCCTGGCAAACACTTCCTTGTGCACACCCACCTACTAGTATAGTGTAATGGAAGATTATGGGCTTCAAACTTTTTTTTCAAGATTTATTTATTTTTATTATGAAGATATACAGAGAGGAGAGAACAGAGGAAGATCTTTCGTCCGATGATTCACTCCGTAAGTGACTGCAACCACCAGTGCTGTGCCGATCTGAAGCCAGGATCCTGGAGCCCCTTCTGAGTGTCCCACTTAGGGTCCCAAGGCTTTTGGGCTGTCCTCCACTGCTTTTTGAGCTGGGGCTCAAACTGGTGTTCATATCGAATACCAGCATCACAGGCAGTGGCTTAACCTGCAAAGCCATGATACTGAGTCTCTATTGTAGATATTTTGTCCAAATGGATTTATTCAGCATAGTGGTCGTTTGTGACTGGCTTCTTTGGCCTAGCATGATGTTAATAGGGTCATCCACACTGTTGCATAGGTCAGCACTGTTGATGGTTCAGTTGTATTCCAGTGTGGAGACACCACATTTTGCTGATTGCAGCTCAGTCACCTATAGCTATAGATGTGCATGCCTCTGCTTCGTTGTTTCGAGGCCACAGAAAAACCAGAGACTGATAAGCATTGAATGATAGTTTCTAAAATCCCAATTTTAGTTATTTTTATTACAAATTTAAACATTGATCAGTTAATCTAATTGCTCTTTTTGTTGTTGTTGTTGTTTAAAAATGTAATTATTTGAAAAAGAGAGCTCTCCCAACTTCTGGCTCACTCTCCAAATGACTGCCACAGGCAAGGCTGAGGAACCCGGAACTCATTCTCTTTCTCCCAGGTGGATGACAGGGGCCAGGTACTTGGGACATCTTCCATTGCTTCCCAGAAACCTAAGCAGGGAGCTGGATGGGAAGTTAATGAGGATGCTCTGATAAAGAGATACTGGTGTTATAAAATGTTAGCTTAACCATTTCACACAATGCCTGCCCCCTTTAAAAGTTATAAAGTCTGGGGCCCAATGCAGTAGCGTAGCACTGGGATCCCATATGGGCGCCGGTACCTGGTGGCCTTGCTTCCCATCCAGCTCCCTGCTTGTGGCCTGGAAACACAGTCAAGAATGGCCCAAAGCCTTGGAATCCTGCACTCACGTCGGAGACCCACAAGAAGCTCCTGGCTGCTGGCTTTGGGTTGGTTCAGCTCCAACCATTACTGCTTGGAGAGTGAACCATTGGACGAAAGATCTTCCTCTCTGTCTCTCCTCCTCTCTTTATATCTGACTTTTCAATAACAATAAAATCTTTTTAAACAACTATAAAGTCCAAGCTGGCATGTGGTACAGTGGGTTCAGCTGTCACCTATAGCACTGGTATTGCAGATGGGCACTGGTTCAAGTCCTGGCTGTTGCACTTCCAGTTGCTCCCTGCTAATGCAGCTGGGAAAGCAGCAGGGGATGGTTCAAGTGCTTGGGACCCTGCATCGACATGGGCGATCTGGAAGAAGTCCCCGGCTCCTGGCTTTAGTCTGGCCCAGCCCTGGCCATTGTGGCCGTTTGGGGGGTGACCCAGTGGGCGGAAGCTCTGTCTCTCAATCTTTCTCTGTAACTTTGCCTTTCAATGAAGTAAATCTTTGTAAAAATCCAGGCACCAGAGCACTGTAACCAGCATTTAAAATGTCTCATTTGAGTTGACAGACGAGATTTGTCACAAGACATGCCTGTTTAGGTCGTGCAGAGATGTAGTAAAGTGAGTAGCTGTTTCCCGTGGGCTGGTGAGTGACAGCCGGAGACAGTGACAGCTCATACTCGCTTGTTTCATTTGTCCTTCATGTTAGAAGGATCCGTGTGGGTCACAGACAACAGAATTTTGGCTTATCTAATTGTTGCTTAAGATTTATTAATTAAAAGCAGCATTACAGAGGGAAAGATCTTCTTCCATCTGCTAGTTCATTCCCTGAATGGTTCAGCAGCTAGAGCAGGGCCAGGTCAAAGCCAGGAGCCAGGGCCTTCCTCTGCGTCTCGCATGTGGGTGCAGGGGACCCAACACTGTGGCCATCTCTGCTTTTCATTCTTCATTAGCAGGTAGCTGGGTTGGAAGTGGAATAGCTGGGACTTGACCCAGCGCCCATGTGGGAGAGCAGCATCGCAGACAGCAGTTTAATGTGCTGTTCCATAAGACTAGCCCCTCATCTGCGGTCTTTTACAATGCTGAAACATATGTTAAAGGAACAGGAAAGAAGCTGCTGGCACTAAAATAAACCCTCACTAGAATAAAAATTATTTCTTGTTCTATAGTCCACTGTAGAACAGTTTGAATTATAGATGATTGGAAAGCTTATTACAGAAAAGTCCTATAACCAAACCCTGCTTCCAGAGGCAAATGATTTAACATGTATGTACACTTGAGGATGCTTCCGAAAGTTTGTGGAAAATTGAACATTTTTGAGGCAAGAAGTTTTTTTTTTTCCTTTAAATTCTTGCAGTTCTTTTTTCATAGTACACATTTTCCATGTATTTTATCAAGCTTCTTCATTCTAAAGGATATATTTTTTTAAAGCTTTATTTATTTATTGGAAAGTCAGATAAACAGAAAGGAGGAGAGACAGAGAAGATCTTCCGTCCGATGATTCACTCCCCAAGAGCACAATGGCCGATGCTATGCCAATCCGAAGCCAGGATCCAGGAACTTCTTCCGGGTCTCCCACACGGGTGCAGGGTCCCAAGGCTTTTGGGCCATCCTCGACTGCTTTCTCAGGCCACAAGCAGGGAGCTGGATGGGAAGTGGGGCTGCCAGGATTAGAACCGGCACCCATATGGGATCCTGGCGTGTTCAAGGTGAGGACTTTAGATGCTAGGCCACCATGCTGGACCCACATTCTTCAGGACTTTTAAGATGTATTTAAAAATATTTATTTATATAAAAAAAAGATTATCCTGTTTGTATTGTTTTTCTGCACTAATTTTTAAAATATTTTTTGCATTATGAACAACTTCTTGTGGCCAAATAATTGTCTACAATTAAAATGGCCTTAAAAACTTCATAGTAAATATTAAAGGTATTTTGATTAGAACCATTAAAGACTAATTAGATTTTTGTCTAAACTAAGAGGTTTTTGTCTTTTCTCTTTGTTTAATTATGTATTTGAAAGGCAGAGTCAGAGAGACCCATGTGCTGTTTCAGTCTGCAAATGGGCATAAAGGTTAAGGCCAGGCCATTCCAGGCCAGGAGTCCAGAACTCAAGCCCAATCTCCACGTGGGTGCCAAGGACTCAAGTACTTGGGCCATCTCCTGCCTTTTTGTAGCCACTCAATAATGCTACATTTGACAGCAACAAGTATTAAACTTTGCTAGCAATTTGCTGAAGATAAACATGATAAATTATAAGAAATCCTGTGCTCCCCAAAACAGCTTGCTTGGGGCAGGCGATTGGCACAGGGGCTAGTGTTGGTCGCGCTGTCTACATCCAGTGTCATCCAGTGTCATGGTGACTGCTTCAAGTCCCAGCTCCTGAGCTTCCAATCCAGCTCCTGGCTAATGTGCACCCTGGGAGCCAGCAGATGATGGCTCAGGCGTAGGTACGTGACACCCTCGTGGGAAGCCCAGATTAATTTACAGGGTCCTGATTTCAGCAGGCATTTGAGGAGTGAGCCAGTGGATGCAAGCTCTATACCTCTGGATAAGACTGCTGTTGTGGAACCCTCAAGCACTTTTTCTCACTCCTAGTAAACAGCTTCTGAAGCAAAGCCCCCATGCTGACGGTATTTTAGGCTGGCTTCCCTATCCACTCTTCCTGCAGTCCCCCAGAGTCCTGCAGCCTTGCGTCTGCACCTCTGTCCAGCTCCGAGAGTGGGGACGAGCGGTTACTCCCCGAAGTGCACTCCCACTCCTGGCAGCTGGGGACTGGAGCGCAGGAGGGCGGCTGGGGCCAGGCTTTCAGACCAGCCCTCCAGGAAGGGCCAAGGCTGGCCTCCTCAGTGTTGTGGGTCCCCATGGCGACTGGGCTGTCCTCACCCCTCCCTGTCCCCATGTGGCGCTGCCAGGCTCCTGCTAACATTTCCGTGCGCTGGCCAAAAGGAGACGGCGGTCCTGCTGCCTGACCTGTCGGCTGGTTCCCTGAGGTAAAGCCCTTGGTTTTCTGGCTGCATCCTCTTTCCCTGCCACACGCAGCACCAGGCAGGACCGTGGGTCCATCTTGTACAACCTGGGAGGATCTTGGCAGCTGCTTAGCCAGGGTGGGGAGGCATGATAGCCGTGCCTGTAAGGATCAATACTCTTAAGATTTGGTCACTACCACATTGTAAGTATGCTCTTAAACATGTGTCTTTTTGAAAAGTAAGGATGCTGTGCCTATTAATAAACTTTGCCTTGGATGTCAGAACTGATTTCCTGATCATCCCTGTGAAAGTTGACGGCATCCGGTGCAGGTGGGTCAAGACCATCTTAGCCTGTTCTGCAGGAACTTGATCCTGTGCTCCTCAGAATCCTCAAAGATGGTGTTTGGAGACAATCCCAGTGCAATGTGAACCTTCCAGAACAGCAGCAGCAGCTTGCTTTTCCTGAGTGGAGTTAAGAACCCATTCTGTGTGTTCTAGCTTGACTTCTAGAGTTTTTGACACATAAATCAGACAACACATCTAAGCAAGTGAAAGTAGCAGCCGGTATGGTATTTTCCAACACCCACCACCACCTGTTCTGTCACCTTGATTCCCCATTGTTTCTTCATAGACATAGTGTAAAGAGTGTATGGGTTCATGTTGAAATTGAGTCAGATCTATATATGCTGTGAACTTTCAGTTTGACTGGAGTTATCTTTCCATGTTTTTTGCTGCTCTCGCTCACTCTTCGTGTGCCCCCATTCTCTTCTGCAGTGTTTGGAACCAAAGCCTCTTGGGAGGCACAGGTAAGGAATACATTTTCCAGGAGTAAGGAAACACATAATTATACACCTTGCTCATGTAAATTATGTCAGCAACCTTGTGTTCCTCTGT